GTTGTTTAAAATATGAATGACTTTCTTTATTCTTTGTAAAAGATATTATGAAGTTGTTAAACAGATATGGAACAAATTTAGAGTGAAATGTCCCTTTGACATGAGCAGACATTGGCATCTCAGTATTCTCCACTTCTATATAGAAGTTTTTGTCGCAAAAAAAACTTATTTTAGTATATACTTTTATATAATATTTAGATTTATATTATTTCATGCTCTACTTGTTGCTCTCTCTGACACATATGTAACTAACACTTATTTCTAAATATGTTTCAGATATTTCCCATAGCTGTGACACATGCAGATCGTTTTATTAAAAATATGCAAAAGAAAGACAACAAGCAGCCAGTTAAAGTAAAAGAGTATGTGTGACATCTGTCTTTAAATAATACATAAATAACTCTTCTGAAGTATTTACTGCAGTTGATTTCTATGTATAAATCACACAAAATTAATTTAATTTATTAATAAAGGTTAATAAAAGCTTTGTTAGAAAGTAATGATATGTAAATGATCACTATATAATATATCTAATTAGAAACAAACACTGTTTTTATTCCAGAGTTGTGGCTCCGTACAGTTTGGATGTGGTCACCAGCTCCTCCTTTAGCGTTGACATCGACTCCATAAACAACGCAGATGATCCTTTCGTGACCAACATCAAGAAGTTTTTCAAGTTCAGTCTGTTCAGTCCTCTCTTTCTGATTTTAGGTATGTCATTTTTATCATTTAAAAATTTGCATTATACTGTATATTAGTTTTACAGCTCTTAATTTACATGAATATATGAATACTGTTTTGAGATCTAAATTTCTTTTTTTTATGATTTCAGCTTTATTTCCCACCATTGCAAATCTTTTGGGAAAAATGAGGATAAGTCTTTTTTCAAGGTCGTCTATGGAATTTTTCTATAATGTCCTGAAAAAGATTAAGGACGAGCACAGGGAATCAAATGTATGTTATTTCACTCTTAAGCTTATGCATGGCTTAACTGTCCAAAAACTTGTTAGAGCCACTCTTTTAAAGAACCAGAAATGACTTTGTGTTTTTAATCAGGGTCGGGTAGACTTTCTCCAGCTCATGCTCCAGAATCAAATACCTGGTGATCATTTTGAGGACACAGATGAGCAACCAGCAAAAGGTTAGAGAGACAGTACAGAATTTACACATTATAGACTCTATCATTTCAAATGCGACTTGTTTTCAAATATGCTGTTTTGTGAATTTTGATAGGACTAACAGACCACGAGATTCTCTCCCAGTCCCTCGTTTTCATTCTCGGAGGTTATGAGACGACAAGCACCACTCTCACTTACCTCCTCTATAATCTTGCAACTAATCCAGACTGCCTGGAAAAGCTGGTTGAGGAGATTGACACTAACTTCCCTCCTGATGTGAGCACACTGGCTTCTGCTTTGTTCATAGTTTTTGTCTAGAGAATCTAGCTTAAAGGAATAGTTCATCCAAAAATCAGGCCATCTAAGATGTAGATGAGTTTGATTCTTCATCAGAACAGATTTGGCATTACATCACTTGCTCACCAATGGATCCTCTGCAGTGAATGGGTGCCGTCAGAATGAGAGTCCAAACAGCTGATAAAAACACAATAATCCACATGACTTCAGTCCATCAATTATGTCTTGTGAAGTAAAAAGCTGTGTGTTTCTAAGAAACAAATCCATGATTAAGATGCTTTTAAATTCAAACTGTTACTTTCAGCTAAAATACAAGTCCTCTGTCAATGATACTGCTTTTTCCAGTGTCTCATCTGAATGAAGACAGTTATGCACAGATCAAGCACCATTTACAAGAATCAACAAAACTGTTTTAAACAAATATGTTGGTTGAATTTTGATGTGAGAGAACAACAGGGAATGGACTTTTTCACTGTAGGAAGCTTTATTATGGATTATGTAGTAATTTGACCAGAGGGAATGGTTTAAAGTTGAGTTTGTTTAATTAGTTTAATGGTGAATGTGTTTCTTAACAACATGGCATTTCACTTTATAAGACATTAATTGATGAACTGGAGTCGTGTGGATTATTGTGATGTTTTTATCAGCTGTTTGGACTCTCAATGGTGAGCAAGTGATGTAGTGCAAAATTTCTCAAAATCTGTTCTGATGAAGAAATAAAATCATCTACATCTTGATGTCCTGAGTAAGTGTTCATTTTTTTGACAAATTATTCCTTAAAGGCAGTTTTAAACTTTAACGTTCAGTTGTTTTACTTGAGGAACAGGAATTCGGTTTAAAACAAAGCTGAAATATGCATTGGGTATGTCTTGTTTTTTTTGTGTGGTTTATTTAGACTCCCATCACATATGATGCATTGATGAAAATAGATTACTTGGAAATGGCCATCAACGAATCAATGCGTCTCCTTCCCACTGCACCACGCTTAGAGAGGGTCTGTAAGAAAACTGTGGAGCTCAATGGGGTGACCATACCAAAGGACACTCTGGTTGGAATTCCAACCTATGTTTTGTGTCGTGATCCGCAACTCTGGGAGTCGCCTGATGAGTTCAGGCCAGAGAGGTGATGTGATTCATCTATCAGACACTAATGCTTTCTGAGCATTTCCTGCACAGCCACAATTTTTCTCACTTTAGCTTTTCTCTCATACTATATAGCATGTAAATTAAAATGTTTGAGACATTTTAATGGAACAAAAATTGCTAAACTTGGTCTTTATATTTTTTACAGGTTCAGCCCAGAGAGTAAGTCAGAGATTAACCAGTATATTTTCATGCCTTTTGGTCTCGGGCCTCGAAATTGCATTGGAATGAGATTCGCCCTAATGATCATGAAGCTTCTTGTTGTGAAGCTGCTGCAGAACTTCAGCATGGAAACATGTAAAGAGACACAGGTTGGTACATCATTTCATCAGAATGTATACATTAGTTACGTGAAGCTGACTATGTTTTGCCTCTTAATTAAACGGGAAGTTATAAATGCATATTCTTTATTTTCTCTTGTTTTCAGATCCCTCTAGAGCTGAATGCTATGTTTCAGCCGAAGGTTCCCATCACACTGAAGTTTATACTAAGATCTCGCAAGGCAAAAGAATAATTAAAATGCAGAACGTTTCAATATAATTGATTTGATTTTATACCATGTTATATAGCATTAACAAAATTAATTCAAATCAAGTTTATTTGTATAGCGCTTTTCACAATACAAATCATTGCAAAGCAGCTTTACAGGAAATTAAGTTTCCTATTCCTAAATTATATTATGATTATATGATTATTTATCATATATATGATTATATAATATGATTATACCCTTAACATCATATTTTTGGATTTAAGGTGTTGATGGTTTACTGGGCCTTGAGCTCTTCTTGATTCATTCATTTTTGTGTCATTTACTTTACACTGTTATAAATGTAAAAATACGTTATTAAAAGTGTATAATTGTTTAATTACAGAACAGAATCCAATCAATGAATGCAAATGTATAGTTATTATTGTAGCTGTGTGAGACAGGATTGTGTGCTTTAATAACAAACTTGAATGAATTTTTGTTGGAAACAGACATCATCGTAACGGAAATGTAAAATATCAGTTTGTTTGCATCTGCAATGAAAATAAATACTTTTTTTTAACATTTAAAAATTCAAACCAGAAAGTAAAACAATTACGAAACAAAAATGTGATGAAACAGCCAAATGTAACAGATAGACAAGACATTAGAAATCAGCTTCCAAAACAACTGCTAGGTAACTCTCCTGTGTGACAGGCTTCTCGTTTGTAATAGTATTTGTAAACAATTGTTGTGGACTTTAGAGATATTCCCTCATTTTCAATTACTTTTAGTAGCAATGCCAGAAGAAATAAATATCTACAGGATTTAATAGATGTGTAATGTCGAAAATATGGTTAGTCTGTCAACATTGTAAGGCTGATTTTCTGTCTCACAGATGACTGTTAGAAAGGGGTGTTATTAATGTTAGAAAGGGGTGTTATTAATGTTAGAAAGGGGTGTTATTAAGCAACGCCCACAACCCTACGTATCAGTAAATGTGATTGGTAGGTTTTAAACAGACAGCTGAAATAACCAATAACATGCATATACCTGTAGCGCCCTCTGCACATACTTACAATTCACCAGAGAGTTGCATCAGTTGAGAAAGTTTTCTTCTCATTACTGAAGATTTGATATGTTTAATACAAAACACTCATATCCAAACATTGCAGCATTTTACCATATCAAATGACAGACATTAATTTGCCGATAAATAGGCTTAGCTCTCTTAACATGTTTAACAGAAAACTCCCTGGATACAGAAACTAACCTTCACAGTCCAGCAGCGTAATTTGTCTCAGTACTCCAGCCTGAGGTCTCTCTGCTTCTCTTTTTGTCCAATGGGTGTCACTGTAACAGTGGTGGACAGTAACGGAGTAGCTTTACTTCGTTACTGCCTATATAAAATTGCAAAATAAATCTATCAGTACTTTTTACTTAAGTACATAAAAAATTTAGTACTTTTGTACTTTCACTCGAGTAAAATTGAAAAAGGAGTACTTTTACTTTTACTGGAGTAATATTATACGTATCTGTACTTTTACTCAAGTACTTGATTTGTGTACTTCGGCCACCACTGCACTGTAAACTGTTCAAATAAATGTTCAATGTTATTGTGCGCATGAGTTTGTTTTATTGAGTCACAGATATCCAACTCGGGCTGTACTCTGTTGTAAAGGTGAGTAGAAACGATGTGATACTCAATTTGACACTCGAACCAATTAGAAATTGCATTTTGTGTCTTTCGTCGTTTTCATGTATGTTTTCAACAAAGGAATGGCTTAAGGTTTATGTAGCCTCTGCTGCCTAGTGCAGTTAACACCGATGACCAGTACACTTACAAGTATACTACTAGTACACTGATATTTGTATACTTACTACATAAAGTATACTTAAAATATACTTGAACTTTACTTAAGTATACTTACTAAAATAAACTTGAAGTATACTACTTTTTGGTAAGGGAAACTGTCATAATCTGTCGATTCACACCTTATTTGGTCGTCATGCACACCTATAGACCACGCCCATCTCCGGATCATGACTAAAACCAAACCAACAGCAACGTTAATGAGGACTCTTGCTGGAGCTCACTGACTTTAGACTGAAGAATACAGCGCAAGGCTGACAGCTGACTTACAATGATTGATCTCCCAGCTCTGTCTGTGGCCTGGACCCTGGTGCTTCTGGTCATAACTCTCCTGTTCATGTGAGTATTTATTCACAGGTCAAAGCAACCATTTTTAAGTCTTACTCTGTGTTATAGCTTTTAGATTAATATCTATATTAGGGTGGCCAGATATGAGGTATGCCCCCGTGGACAGACAACTCTTTAAAATCGTAAATATGTCCCGGTTTCGGCTGGATCACTGACCGTTTCTTTGAGTCTGAATATCCTCGTTGTTCTTCTAGCCTCCGTGTCTGGTATCGTTTGCAGAGCAGGAACGCTGTTTCCATTGCAACAAGCTGATTTTGCTGATAGTCGTCAGTGTAGAAAGTCTGTCTGCGAACGCTAAGCTGAACTGCGACATCAGTCCCGCGCTGTGCTTTTCACTGCGCCTCTTGATAGAAAAGAAACTGATTTCTATAAACTGTGTTGATTATTTTCTGTAAAATAGATTATAAAATGGTTTTCGATAGTGTTAAACTGAGAATAATTAATCGCCATTTATGTCAGGAGGAGGGCCGAATATTAAAGAACATGTCTTTTATGTTACATAACTTGAACGGAACGAAACCCAACCAAAATGTAGGTTGTTCGTCTATTTTCAGTCAGATTTACTGAAATGTATTCCTTGTGTCATTGTGTTGTGTTAAGTTGCTTCAAACCTAAAATACGTTGTTTTCGAGCAGTAGAAATAATTTAATCTTAAAGGAAATCAGCGTGAGAATGGAAGTGTCTGGTTGCCATGGCAACTACACGTACCCTGTAGTCATAGTAAAATCGCTTGAATATTATTTACGGAGTTTCCTTTTATTTTTTGTTTCCTCATAAATATTTGTATGTGTTGTTGAAATCTCAAGCAGTGTAGAACAGAGTATGGGGTATGTACTACCGAAATCTAAATGTGATTAAAATGATGAAAACTACAAAACTATACTTCATTTGTGGCCCAGTTTGAGGGTTAAAAAAATCTGGTCACCCTAATCTCAATCTCTGTTAAATGTGTGTTATTTTAGTTAGTATTTGTGTGTAGACTTATATTCGTGTTGTTTGTCACACTAAAGTTATGGTGTTTGGCCACATGGATTTTTTAAGAAACTGGGAGTCCCAGGACCAAGGCCTTGGCCTTTCTTTGGCACACTTCTCTCATACACTAAAGTGAGTAATTAATTATGTAAAGAGTTATTCACTCTTTTAATTTCTCTCTGATTAGTTGTCTATATGCAAATGTATTTTAGGGTTTGTGCAATTTCGATATGGAGTGTGCTAAGAAGTATGGAAAAGTTTGGGGGTGAGTCTCAGTCATACATTTACTGTGTTAAAAGAATTTGTCATTCAAGTTATACTATATATACACGATACATTAGGCAAAATGTCATTCATAGAGTGAAATTACATTTATTAATTCAATATATGAATATAAATAAAGAAATTTTAGAAGCTACGTTATGTAATATTGTAGTTTGTCCATTGAGTAAAATGTTTAAGCACAGTTGAGATATTTCACAATATAGCAAGCTTCTCACACATTAATAAAACAATTGTTTAAATGGCTGCTGTCTCGAATATTTAATACAGTAATGATTACTAGTCCAGCATACTACAAAATCACATTGCCATCTTTTAACCTGTATGTAACCTGCATGTGAGTATTTTATTTGCTAGGCAATGTATGTACTTCCTAACAGTGCAGTTTATTAGTGGAGCACAACAGTTTGGTGGTATTTAGCTGAATCACTGTGACTGCAAACTGATCAATATTCCTTTCATTGCTCAGGATCTATGATGGAAGGCTCCCAATATTAATGGTTACTGACCTGGAAATGATCAAAGTGATTATGGTGAAAGAATGTTATTCTAACTTCATTAACAGAAGGGTAAGCTCACCAAAACTCAAACACAGTTTTGTACAAGGAAAGTGTTATTATGGCAATTCAGAGACAGCTAAAGATCCAGTAAAGATCACCATTTTGTAATTTGTACAGAAAAGAACTACAGGTCTTGCTGGCCCCTTTGCTGATGGCATAATTATGGTTAAAGATGAGAGATGGAAGAGAATGCGTAGTACACTCTCCCCGTATTTCACAAGTGGTCGACTGAAGGAGGTACAGTGAAAGCCCATAATATGAACTGTATCATGCTTTGTAGTCTAGTCCCAATAATCTCTTTGCAGAACAGTAAATTCAGTCAGTGGTTTAGAGGTTCAAATGGAGATGAGGCAAAGTCCAGTGCATTTTATTATAGTCTTGTTGCTCACTGGCACAAATGTAGCTAACATTTATTTCTAAATATGTTTCAGATATTTCCCATAGCTGTGACACATGCAGATCGTTTTATTAAAAATATGCAAAAGAAAGACAACAAGCAGCCAGTTAAAGTAAAAGAGTATGTGTGACATCTGTCTTTAAATAATACATAAATAACTCTTCTGAAGTATTTACTGCAGTTGATTTCTATGTATAAATCACACAAAATTAATTTAATTTATTAATAAAGGTTAATAAAAGCTTTGTTAGAAAGTAATGATATGTAAATGATCACTATATAATATATCTAATTAGAAACAAACACTGTTTTTATTCCAGAGTTGTGGCTCCGTACAGTTTGGATGTGGTCACCAGCTCCTCCTTTAGCGTTGACATCGACTCCATAAACAACGCAGATGATCCTTTCGTGACCAACATCAAGAAGTTCATCCAGTTTAATATGTTCAATCCTCTCTTTCTGCTAATACGTATGTTATTGCTTGTATAATAATATTGGAAAATGAACAGAAATAATGAAAAAAGAAACAAAAATTACGTTTATTTTCTTGTTTCAGTATTGTTTCCCTCCATTGCAATTATTTTGAAGAAAATGGGGGTTACTCTTTTTTCGAAGTCGTCTATGGATTTTTTCTACAGTGCCGTGAAAAAGATTAAGGACGAGCACAACAAAGAATCAGATGTATGTTTGTCACTATTTCACTGTCATTCACTATCATTTAGATCTGGCAATGATTTTGATGCTTCTGTGTTTTTAATCAGGGTCGGGTAGACTTTCTCCAGCTCATGCTCCAGAATCAAATACCTGGTGATCATTTTGAGGACACAGATGAGCAACCAGCAAAAGGTTAGAGAGACAGTACAGAATTTACACATTATAGACTCTATCATTTCAAATGCGACTTGTTTTCAAATATGCTGTTTTGTGAATTTTGATAGGACTAACAGACCACGAGATTCTCTCCCAGTATCCACTGAACGTAAATTGCGTATGCTGTTTTGTGTCAGCTGCGCCACGCTGATATGTTGTTTTCGTTCAAATCAAAGCGTAAATGACGTAAACCGCATATCCGCGTGGCACAGCTGACACAAAACAGCATACGCAATTTATGTTCAGTGGATACTCTCCAAAATGGCGCTAGGGAGACGAATTGTTGAACAAAGTCGTTATTTTTTTTCTTTTGTGCTCAAAATGTATTCTCGTAGCTTCGTAAAATTACGGCCTTGATCGTGTAAGGACCCTTGCTGTCTATGGGAGGGTCAGAGAACTCTCTGATTCCATCAAAAATATCTTAATTTGTGTTCCGAAGATGAACGGAGGTCTTATGCAGGGTTTAGAACGACATGAGGGTGAGTAATTAATGACAGAATTTTCATTTTTGGGTGAACTATCCCTTTAATGGCAGTTTTGGATTTTAGGGTTCAGTTGTTTTACTTAAGGAACAGGAATTAGGTTTAAAACAAAGCTGAAATATGCATTGGGTATGTCTTGTTTTTTGTGTGGTTTATTTAGACTCCCATCACATATGATGCATTGATGAAAATAGATTACTTGGAAATGGCCATCAACGAATCAATGCGTCTCCTTCCCACTGCACCACGCTTAGAGAGGGTCTGTAAGAAAACTGTGGAGCTCAATGGGGTGACCATACCAAAGGACACTCTGGTTGGAATTCCAACCTATGTTTTGTGTCGTGATCCGCAACTCTGGGAGTCGCCTGATGAGTTCAGACCAGAGAGGTGATGTCTATCATTACATCTATATTTATTTTTTCACAACCACAGTTTTTCTCACTTCAGTTTTTCTCACATATGATCATCTTACAACATGTGATTTATACAGTTTACAGAACCACGTACCAGATTTAAGCTGGCTAAACAAAATTAAAACAGCCTTTAGAGTGTAAGGAAGCATCCTTATTTACTGTAGTACCTTACTAAATCAAACAAAAGCCGGTACTTTGATTTTACACAGTTTTCTTAAAAGAAGTGGTTACAAACACATCTACAAACAGTGGATTCAAACATGTCTACAAACAGTGAATTCAGTTTGTTTAGACTATTTAATTGAAGCAAGGATTGCTAAACTGAATGTGTTTCTGATATATCACTATAGGTTCAGCCCAGAGAGTAAGTCAGAGATAAACCAGTACGCTTTCCTGCCTTTTGGTCTCGGGCCTCGAAATTGCATTGGAATGAGATTCGCCCTAATGATCATGAAGCTTCTTGTTGTGAAGCTGCTGCAGAACTTCAGCATGGAAACATGTAAAGAGACACAGGTTGGTACACTGACTGTCATCAATTAGAATTGATATACATGAGTTATGTGAGACAGACTGTGCATTGCGTCTTGAATTAATTAATTGTTGTTTATTTTCTCTCTTTTTTTCCTCAGATCCCTCTAGAGATGAATGCCGCTTTTCAGCCGAAGGTTCCCATCACACTGAAGTTTATACCAAGATCTCACAAGGCAAAACAATAATGCAATGCAAAACAGTTATAAACATTATATAATTATGAATAATACAAATTTTTTAAACCATTTTAATCATGAAGACTGAAACACATTATAATATTTACACAATTAATAATTCTTTTTTTATCATTTCATTATATTATCAGACATTTAATGTTCACCTTTTACATTTCATTGAAGTGAGCCATTGTAGAGTTCACTGTATGATTTATGGTGCTCAAGATTGATGGACCTTGAGCTCTTCCTGGTTCATTCATTTTGTGTAATTTGTTTAATGCTTATTGAAATGTAATACATATGTTTTAAAAGAAACAACATTGTGCACATTTAATTATATACTTATATGTTTTATAAAATAAAAACAATTAAATAGTTTACTGTATATGTACATTGTATATACAGTAAAATGTATATACATTGTATATAATCAATGCAATGTATATTCATGTAGCTGTAAAGAAGATGTGAAGTTCTTTTCTATCATATCATCAGAATTATTTTACCAAATAAAATGTGCCCATGTGAGAAATACTTTCTGTGAAAAAATGGTTGTTAGTCATTGCACCCAGAAAGCCCATAAAACTGAATCCAGTGTCCTGCATTTCAGTTGGCAATGAAGACTAAACAGGAAGAGATTGTTTGTTTTCATGCCACTTACAGCCTTAATTGCACTGCCATGCTCTGGAAAACCACCAGTATAAAACAGATATTAGAAAATAAAATGCTTTTTCAGCACTGGCAGTTATTTTGCCAAAATGGGGCATACATTTTTAACACTAATCATAAGCCCATGTATAATTAATTCATATTATATGATGTATTACATAATGTTTTTTTCTAGGTCCTTTTAAAATTTACATTAAGACTAAATCACTATTTAAATTTATTGTGTTATGATAATGAAATTGATTTGATTAGACCTGAGATTCTCCTCAAGGGGTATTGTTTGTATACCCACTTTATCAAAAGAATGAATTACTATATCATTAGATGAGTAAGTATATGTATAGTTAGGCATGGTGTTTTAGCTACTGTTGTATCATTGAATATTTTCAGTTGACCTCAGCACTGAATGTGATGTAACCAGCTGTAATTCCATCCTACATTAAGGCCTTTTCCTCATTTTATCTTTAAAAATTATCTTGTCTTTCTGTGACATTTGAGAATTTGCATGTGTAACTTGGGGTAAACCAAACCTAGTGCATTTGAAATCTTTAGGGTCAAGACCTTTGTTGCAAGACATGTTTCATTTTTGGGAAATCGGACAGCATTTTTTCTTTCCACTTCCTGCTGACTCAACTCCCAACAGGCTGAATTTTTTATTTTGACCTAGAAAGTCTACATTATTTTTCATTACATCCTTTTCTGAGATGGCAAGACGAACCATCACCTGATTTTAATCAAAACATAAAAGAAACCCATTAAAATGACAAAGACAGCAAAGACTATTGTTAAAGGTTTTGGTAAAATAATCCAGAAGGGCAGGCCAAGTATTCGACGTCCTTACTGACCGTGATTCTGAAAACATTACAAAGTTTATTACACGGTTCTCTGGGATACTTGATTCGTGCAGGTCATGTTATACCCTGATAGTGATAATTATACATTCCCCAGCTGTACATTTACCCTTATGCAGTAAGTAAGAGATTTTATAAATTTCATAAAAGTGTAAAATTATCAAGAGAATAGTTCAAATGTGCATTAAATGGTTGGAAAAGAATTAAATGCAGAAAAGTGTGAGAATTCAGGGAAAGAAATGTGAGATGCTGGCCTTGCTAGAGCTGCATTTACACAATGTATGTTCCCCCCTTGACTGTAGAAAAAAGCCATTGCAATTTAAAGTAATAGGTTACTATATTATAGATTAAAATTAATAACTAGTGATTTAAATTCTTCAGCATTTTCAAAGGCAAGAAACAGACAGCTGAATTCGTAGTGAAGACAGACACCTTGTGTTGACAAGTAAAACTGCGCATAGTTTTAACCTAATTTGTGAAACTCCAGCATCCGGGCACTCCATCATCCGGGGCTTACCTCTGCCTTGTTCTTTCTCTGTTTATAAGCAGAAAGAGCGCAGAATGGTCGATGCGCCGTGACGTCACCCCTCCAACCACGTCATTTTATTTCCACCTTCCAAAATGTTTTTCACACCGAACCAGAAACACAACCCATCAAAGTTCACCTGCATTTAGTTTCAATCCAAGCAAGCACGCGTGCATTGGACATCAAATATACCTCTTTTTTATTGCCACATGTAACGCACGTGTCGTCCGGTTCCAGGAACTGCAACAATATTAACCTTTAATATGCCAGAGAGTTTAGAGTAAGCCCTACGAAAATGGTCGGGGAAAAAATAAACATCTCGGATGAACTTTACGACAAAATCTAAACGACATCGCACTATTCCCCGCTAACGGTTTCAAAACCAATGAAAGGTAAACGAGGGTTTAAATCGCGCCCCGCTCCAGTCCGTTAATCCATGACGTGTTTTCCACGCGCCGTCTCCATGTTTTGACTACCACCACCAACAGCAACACGGTGAACCCTGCCAACACACAGCCGTTGCGCTTGCAAACCCCTCTGTGTTTTTCAACAAAATGGCTGATTTAGGGGATGATACCGGAGCGAGAGCCCTACTGGCGCTCAAATCTGCGCCTTGTAGCCCGGTGGCTGTTTCTGTCCCGCCAGTGTACACGCTTTCCTCCTCGACTTCGCCCGGAATCACATCATCCATGTCCCTCTCCTCTCCGTGGCAGGCCCTCGCTCGCCTGGAAGGCAGGGACTTCGAGTTCGCCATGCGCCAGAGGACGGTCACCGTGGGGCGGAATTCGTCGCACGGCTCCGTGGATGTCAACATGGGCCACTCGAGCTTCATTTCCAGGAGACATCTGCAAATCACCTTCGAGGAGCCGCATTTCTACCTGCGCTGTCTCGGCAAGAACGGTGTGTTTGTCGACGGCGTTTTCCAGAGGAGAGGCGCACCTCCACTTCTCCTGCCGAGGGAGTAAGTTACTCAAATGAGATCTGTTTCCTTACATTAGCTTCTGTGGCCTGATAGCAAGCACCTATTCACTTGGAGAGCGAATGCACTACACATACAAGAGATTAAATTAACCTGCTTAATGCAGCGCCTGCATAATCCGACTAAACTACATACATACGAGAACTGTCAGAAACCGACTTCAGGGTACTTTCAGTTTGTGATATAACGTACTAGTTTTTTATGCATTTATTTAGAGGGGAAAATGCAACGGCTACAAACCTGTTTTGGCTCAGGATAATCTGCCAGTATGTGCATTAATCTGCTATTGTGAGTGTAGTATGCTCTTAAAATAAAGGTTCTTAATGGGCATCAATGGTCCTGTGAAGAACCTTAAACATCCATGGAACCTTTCAAATGCAGAAAAGGTTCTTTAAAGTCGAAAAAGGCTCTTTAGATTTGTAAAATGTTCTTCAAAATGGTTCTTTTAGGAACTGTTCACTGAAAGGTTCTTTGGGGAACCAAAAAAGGTTCTTCTATGGCAAACACCCTTTTATAACCTTCATTCTTAAGAGTGTAATTAAGTCAGTTAAAGGCATAGTTCACCCAAAATTACAATTCTGGCATCATTTCCTCACCCTTATGTTCCAAACTTATATGACATTATTTCTTCTGTGTATTTCTACAACTTTTTTTTTTCAGGAAATGTTGACCAAGGCTGTCAGTTCTGTCTAAATCCTGTTGTGTTCCATTGAAGAAATGCAAGTTTGGAATAACATGAGGGTGTGTAAACAATAACCCATTTTTAATTTTTGGCTCAAGTATCCCTTTAGGCCCCGGATCTGGATCTGTCAATGAATCTGGATTTTCTATATATTATAAAATTACTGACCCCTGAGTGTTTGTTTTTTTGTTGAGGCTGGCGCTCAAGACGGGTTAAAATACAAACATGAAAAGTTAAACGTTTCACATTACGACCACAGGAACTGTGTGCACGACAGAGACTGGATCCACCGCATGATTTTGTGGGCAGATGTGAGATATACAGGCCGCATTTATGACCCATATCAGTAGTAACCGCTTTATGATCTTCTGCAGACAAAGAACAGAGGGGAAAACCTAGTAATACTATAATGAAGCACTTCGAACAACTATGTTTGAGTAGTAATATGGCGTTTTGTACACAGTCCTCATGCAGTCTTATTTTTGTTTAGATTGTTTTGAACTGTAAACAATCATTACAGTTGTCAGTATAAAGTGTCATTTTGTTCATTTCAATTAATTTCTGTGATTTCATGTTTTTGGAATTTGAAACTGGTTTTTAACAATTTATTTTCAAATTATTTGAGTTTTCAAAGTATCTTTTTTTTTTTTCAAATGATTTGAATTTGTATTTAAAACATATTTGGAACTTGATTTCAAATTAGATTTTATTGAAACAAACAGTAAAAAAATTTAATCTTGCATTTAAAATATAAATTTGTATTTAAAGACAGTGTTCTTTTTTTAACATTACTCTTCCCATGCTTTAGTTGCTGTTCTGCTTACACTAAGTTATAAGTTTAGCAGTATAAATAGTTATGTTTATCTTAGTAACAATCACCTTTAGAAAACCAATCCGTGAGTATTTGATGATCCTACTAAATTAGATGTTTTTGATAAAGTATACCACAAGTAAAATCACAAGTAAAAAAAAAAGGTTTAGTATCAGTAATCTGTAGAGTTAATAGTCAGTATGAAAGCAGTTCTAATGCCATTGACAGTTTTAGCCTCAAATGTAAACACAAATGATTGAGAAGTGGATAAATTAGTTAACTAGATCAGACTGAAGGTCTCTGCGTAGTTGTGCTGAACAGTATTGTTGTGACTAGAGTTCAGCTCTTTGTGACTCTTAGATTTTATTAAAATCACTATTTGGCTTCCTCCTCCTTATCAGCATTGCTTTTACTGTGACTCGGTGTGTGCCATCTGTCTTATCAATGCAGAATAGATCTGTGGAGCTTGTTGTCATGGAGGTCAGAGCGACTATTCCTGCAGACTGCTGTGAAAACACGGACAGACTGAACCCATAATG